AAGAAAACAACCATGCTCAGAGAACCCCAAGGACTCCACAGTTCAACCCTGAGCTACACATATTCTCTTCTACTGGTACGTTTACATGCTTACAACAATTTTCAGATTTACCTTTTCATGAATTTCTTGTGTAGACTGCGCATCACAAAACGCCACCGTGGCTACGTCCTTTAGGATTGGCATTTCCACAGTACAATCCCGGCCATCAAGCAGTGCTACCAGGGGACGCGGGTGCATAGGTCCATTCATGATCGGAGGTCGAATGCCTAAAATGAAAAAAGGCAAGTCATTTCATACTCATATTCGATTCAACTGGAAAATGGGACGATATATACAAGGAGAGAATAGAATCAGAATGTTAAAGGGAAATGCTAAACTGAACCATTTGGTGAGTTTACGCCACCATGGTAGCAAATAGAAACACCAGAATTTCCCCAGATCATATAGAGGGAAAAAAGTGAATGCGTTATAAAACCCTATATAAGAACTCACTTAGCATATTCCCTCATTTCCTTGTCCTGATGAGAAAACCATTTACTATGGACCCCTAGAACTCACTATACTTGCCTGCAGACAGAAAAGATGCACTACCACAATTACGGTTTTCAACAGAATCACAACTGGGAAGTCTTGCGTGACAGTACTGACATCCACAACTCCAACGAGCAACAAACACGTTTTCGAGCATCTGCCCTGCATCCAGCCGAACTCAACAGTTCTAAAGGAATGTGTGAATGCATCTAGCATATGAGTGAGTCAGGCATGCAATCTGAATTTTGGGGGGCCCACTGAGAACAGCATTATCAGCTTGGTCCCCGTTCTGTTTAAAGTCACCATTTATCCTAGTATGGGTATACAATCCTGAGTTTAGTTTATCAGGTTTGTTTGTTTGTTTGTTTGTTTATCAGACTTGTCCCTGCCCATCTCTCCCCCAGTGGGGGACTCTGGGCGGTTTACAACAATTAAAACAAATAAATACATCATTAAAATTTATAAAAAGAGAAAAACACATTTACCCAAAATGAGAGGAGGAGAAAAAATCCAAGAGGCCAATGGAAGCAACACCAGGCCTCTAGGGGCCTAGCCAACCCCACATCTGATGACCTACCTCCCCACCCCAGGCCAGATGGCAGAGCCAGGTCTTCAAATCCCTCCGAAATGCCGGGAGTGAGGGGGCCTGTCTCACCTCCGGGGGCAAGATGTTCCAAAGGGTGGGGACTACAGCAGAGAAGGCCCGCCTTCTGGACCCCGCTAGTCGGAGTTCTTTTGCCAAAGGGGTCCGGAGCATGCCCTCTCTATGAGATCGGGTGGGACAGGTTGAAATCGTGGGGGCGAGGTGGTCCCTCAGGTAGCCTGGCCCCATGCCATGTAGGGTTTTAAAAGGTGATAACCAACACCTTGAATTGGACCCAGAAGCAAACCGGTACCCAATGCAGCTCATGGAGCAAAGGTGTTATATGGGTCCTTCTTCAGACCCCAAAAATAGCTCGCACGGCTGCATTCTGGACCAGTTGAAGCTACCAGATACTCTTCAAGAGTAGCCCCATGTAGAGTGCATTGCAGTAGTCTATCTGGGAGATAACAAGGGCATGAGTGACCGTTCGAAGGGCATCCCGATCCAGGAAAGGGTGTG